TAACTATAGTAGCAGATGTTACGATGTAGGGATGCTCTGCTAATGCCGTAGCAACCGGCTCTGTAGTCTTAGTTTTCCTCAGAATGCGTTTTTTTTTTTTTATGGGTAAAATAAAAAGGTCAATTTTTGATATTTACTAGTGACGAAATGTTCAACTGTTGCAGACCAACAAATTTCTTTACATTGCATCATAAAAAATATCCTTTCCCCACATTTGATATTTTCAAACAATAAAAAAAAACAACAAAAAAAAAACAATGGCCTTGTTTGAAACCTCTAAAGCCTCTCTCGGTCCCCGGGCCTCATGTGAGCTTATGTTCCCCAAAACCGAGTGCAGCAATTTCCCACTTTTCAGTATGACTGAGATCGATGAAGTTGGGGCAAAATCTATCTATTGAATTCGCCCGTAGTCCATCTCCTTCACACACCTGGTCCTTTGACTGAACGGTCCCTTAGTGGGGCTCCGGACCCCTGAAAGTCCCCCTAACATTTTTCCTCTGAAGTCTTTGATTCAGCTGATATTTCCAGTCTTTTTCATATGGTTCCATGTTTAGATTCCCACTTCCTTCCCCCAATTTGTAGAAGCTTTGGAGAACACATTATAACAAACTAGTCATTATTATTGGTGAAATATGTCCTTATATGAACTGGTTTAATGCAGTTGTTGTCGTTTAAAAAAAAAAAGTTAAAAAAAACAAAAACTTTGCTGGCAAATATATATTTTATGCACATGGAGACAAATAGTAGTGCACTACCAGCGTTTTGGTAATTGAAATAAAAAAAAAATAGCCACACTTATCCATTCTGATTGTGGTTCTTTGTCTGAAAAGTGAATCCGGTTTGGGTGAAGCCACTGGTGGCATCTGTCAAAACATCTCCAGCTCATCCTAGCATGAACTGCTCCTTTTGGAGGACTGGGGTTCCCCACTCCGGGTCCACTGGGTCCTGATCAGAATTTCACAGGAACATTTGTGAGATTTGGTTTTAACATCGCAAAAAAAAAAAAAAAAAAAAAAGCAGATTAATCAAATAAATCTGTATTTCTTGGCTTCAGCTGCTGGGACACACTTAACAAATAAAGTTGAGACAAAGAACTGAGTTTTCTTTTTTTTGTAATTGGCATGAATGTGAATGTTGAGAATAAAAAACAACATGATATTTTCATTGCCTCGGTAAGTTTGTTAAAAAGATTCGAGCGCAAAGGCAAAAAAAACCCAACAACAAACAAACAAATAAAATAATAATAATAATAAAAAAGTTCAACTCCAGGCTTCTGACTGATTCTAAACGGAAGGTGAATGAAGGAAAGTTTTCAGAGTTTTTTTTTTTTCTTTTTTTACTAATACAAACCTGGTGGGAGAATATATTTGCAGTTCGCAACAAGCCGCCGGGGATATGAAGGTGCTCCAGTCAGGTGAGTCCAAATTGAATCAGAATCGGCTTTTGTTTTGTCATGTTTGTGCGCACAAATGAGAAATTTGACTTCAACGTCGCTCACAATCGAGACATTTTTAGGAGGGAGACAAGGCTGAACTGATGCAAATATGCATGCTATCAGTCTGGGCACCCTGATGTTTAATTGTTCATCAGAGAAACAACCTGAGGGAAAGAAACTCCCTCTCTGGGGTGTGGTGGTTGGCTTTTTTTGACAAACAGAGTAAGCTCTGTGGCACTGACCTGAAGGCAAAAGTCAAAACAGTTTGTGTCCATGATGTGTGGTATCTGGGGAATCGCCATAAGACACGAACGATTAGTCTGGGACAATCCATGTCTGCAGCAGACGATAATGTCAGAAAAGCATATTTTATGAGCTGCGTTGGGAATCTGTGGCAAAGAATCTGAGCTTGAGCTATTAAGTAAAGAAAACTGGACAAGAAACGTGAAAGCCTCTCGATGGGTAAAGATGGTAGAAACGCAACCCCAAAAGACATGTAATTCCAGGTCAGCAGTGCAACTCTGTGATTTTTTTTTTGGTGTACGCCAACATGTTACCACTTACTGCGCCTGCAATACCATATCACTGGTCAATCTATCGACCAAATTGCTATAATTTCCTTTTGTGTTGTATTTATATTCTTTGTTTTGTATTTAATTTGTATTTTTTTGTATTTTGTGTATGCTTACTGTGTGCCACATTTTTGCCTGTGAGCTGCTGGTAACTATAATTTCCTGAGGGAGTCTTCCCAAGGGATCAATAAAGTCAAGTCTAAGTCTAAGTCTCTCTGCAGTTGTTTTGTGTTTTTGGTATTTTTTGCTAACAGCGTTTACTGCTCCATATTTGAAATCTTTCAAGGCCAGACCTTTTCAGTGTGTGTGGGCGAGCGACCAGAGAGGAGGTGAAGGAGCATAGAGTTGCCTAATCAATGTCTCTGTTATTAATCTTATCATTTACACGTGCAGAAATGGCTGCTAAGAAAACAAGATGCCCACGAGGAATTATTTTTCCACCAACGTTGGGCACCCCCTCTACCACGGCACCCACATGCGTCATGCCACCTTTTTGTGCCACCAATTCCAGTGAAAGGTGCTTTGACAAAGTATTGAGTCAGTAGGTTCGAATGCAAATTCTCACTACCTTGTCCTGATGCTGATTTGCTCAAAATTTCTCAGCGATGCGCATTTCTATTTTACTTTACTGTGTGATTTCACAGAAGACTGACAATGAAAAAGGTCAGCAGACATGACTGCTTTTGCAACGTACTCCACATTGAGTGCCTCTGGGACTAATCCTACAATGTACACATGCAGAAACAGCTGTTAAATATAGAAAATACCCACAAGAAAAAAATTGTCAGCCAACATTAGGCACCCTCTCTAGCATGGCACCCAAATGCCACATTTACCCAACGGATTCCAATGAAAGGTGCTTTGGCAAAGTCCACCTTCTCACCACCTTCACCTGATGCTGATTAGATAAAATGTTCTTTTTCCTTCCACCTTACAGTTGTTCAAATCCACAAAGAGATTTAGATCCGTGTCTACAACATAACAAAACAATGAAAACGTTAAATCAGGTGTGAATACTTGTGCACTCTTCTCGTCTTCTTTGCCCCATTTTCTTGATTATTTATTTATTTTTATTTAGCCTATTTATTTTTTTTTTTTTTTTTTTTTTGCTTTGGAGCTAAGCTCTGGCCTCTCTGGAGCCCGTCTTAAAGATCCCCCACTGTCACCTCAGCTTATTGCTGCCTCCTGCGTTGCGCGGCACAAACACAAACACGCCCGGGCGCACACATGGCCTCCCACTAATAACAGGGCCAGGGAGACGCAGCCCGGATTCAGGGACTTGTAAACACACTCTGGTTCCCCCAACTATTCTCTTTGATCTCCAGCAAACAAAACACTTCGCCTGACGCGATCGCCGCTTTCCGTCTCTGAACTTGAACCCGCCGCAGTGCACGTCGCTTTCCCAGCCCAGAAATAAAGCACACTTTGGTTCTCTTCCCCCCCACACGACCGTTTTGCATGCGGGTCTTATTTATAGCATCGCGAGGCGTGCTCCTTATGCTTTCCATAAGGACTCGGTGAATTGTTACAACTCAGATCTCTGCATAGCTCCACAGCGGGCTGCTCCTCTTAGAGGCGAGTTCAAGTTGGAGGCTCCCCGCTTCCTGTGTTCGCAGAAAGAGAAGCGGAGACAGAGAGAGACAGAGACAGAGAGAGAGAGAGAGAGAGAGAGAGAGAGAGAGAGAGAGAGAGAGAGAGAAATAAAAATAAAGAAATCCTGTCCTTCAGTTTCTGGATCCCATGGTCCATAATGATCTGATCTCTGTCTCCCATAGGCGGGCCGTTGCTGTGGCAACCTGATGACGCTCTGAGGCAGGATCAGGAGGAGAGGGAAGGAGGGAGGAGAAGAGGGGCAGGCAGAGGAAGGAAGCGGCAGCCGCACCAAAGATGGGTTGGGTGTGAGCAGATGACTCACGCGGAGAAATAAATGCAGACCCCAAAACGAGGCGAGAAAGCGCCGGCTGCCTTTGCTTTGACCTTCCTCACGTCACGATATTTAGTGAAGGATGGTTGGCTATGTTTGTGTTCATGCACATAAATGAAATCATTTCGATTTGGTGTTAATTGTATGCATTGTGGCAGTTGTGGTAAGTAAACCATGAAATCAAGTTTTCATTGCTTAGTGGAATAAAATTTAACTGTTAAAATTATATTTTTAACAGTTTGAAGCAAGAAATTTACATAAACAATGAAAAGACAGACATTATTATACACAGAGATTATTGTTATTGTTAAATATCAGAGCGATGGATGAAATAAGAAAAGCAAGAAACCTGACTGAGTGTGATGATCCACAAGAAAACCTGTAGTCATATGGACTGAAATGCCACTCGGCAAAAAAAAAAAGAGTCATTTTTCCAAAACAGTAAAAAAAAAAAAAAACTGCTGTACTTTCCAGGGACAAAAATCCCGGACGTTGACCATGTGCTCTGTGGTCTGATGACACTGAAATTGAAGTATTTGATGATAATAAGCCAGTGGAAAATGTTTAATTGTGAAACTCAGACACAGCCAAAATGTTTGAGGTTTTTTTTTTCAGAAATTTTCCGAGATTAATTTAAAACTTTGAGTTTTTCTAGTAAATATTCTAGTTTTCCAACTCAGAAATGTGCTGCTTTTTTCCTCTCTAGAAAACCTTCAAGGCTAATCTCAAAATTTCTTCTTTTTTTTTTCAAGTGCGTTTCACATTTTTAAACTGAGAAATTTCCAAAAAGTTCTTCAAGAAAATTTGTGAAACTCATCTCAAAATTTCCAAGTTTTTTTTTTTCTAGAAAATTAATATTTGATTAGATGTCTTTTTTATACAGCACGCATCGTCACAGCTAACATCCCCATCATGTTTAAATCAGTTTTGGACAAACAGTAGACGATCTTTGGCTAAAGCTTCTGTACAAATGGCGATTTTTTTTTTGTCAGTGAACTCAACACTCTTTAGGACCCAGGGCGGCCTCCCGGGGAAGTCCTCAGCCGCTGGCGGGGCAAAGGCAGGCAGGCAGAGCCCAGGAACACATCCACGCACATCCACACACACACGCAGGCAAGCCGAGCTCCTCTCCGACAGAGGAGAGAGCGCACGGAGGGATAAACACAGGGAGACCGGAGGAACGCGGCGGCAGGCGGCTCTCGCGTGTCTGTTTTGTGTGTGTGTGTGTGTGTGTGTGTGTGTGTGGTGGCGCGCGCGCGCGCTCGCTCGCTCGCTCGGTGCTCGAGACGACTAGCGGGGCGGAACATGGAGCGGCTCGGGAAAAACGCTGGGAAGTGACCTCGAACCGAGGAGAAGATTGGGGGAAGACGAAGCGAACGGAGAGAGCGAGAAGACGGACGGACTGACAGACGGACAGCTCGGACGGAGAGGAGGAGGGGAAGAAAAGAAAGAGAGAGAGAGGGAGAAGTCTGACAGAGGAGGAAGAAGAGTGGGGAAGGGGTTCACCTGGAACTCGCGAGGATTTTAAGGTGACTCCTTTGGGCTTTTCATGGCCATATGTAGCTGGTGTGTGTCGCTGACATGTGCTGCGTGGCTCCGCACTTGGGAGAAAAAGTGTGGTGGGTTCGCGTTGCGCACGCGAGTGTGCGTGTGCGCGGGCGAGACTGTGCGCAGCGTCGGTTTACGTTAGTTGTGGAGGTTGTTTTCCCTTCCACGCGTGAAGGAGGGGAGGAAAGGGAGCCAAAGTGAGATGGAAGTGACCACTGTGAACTGGAGTGAAGGGATCAAAAGGAGTGGCTACTTTTTAGGGAACAGCCTGATCCCATTCCAACACATACACGCACACACACACACACTTCTCTGGTATGTTACTTTAACTTGAGAAACAGTAAAGCAGAGTCCACTTTCACCCTCCCTTTAAAATGCCTCTCTCACCATGTGTTTGCATCTGAGTGTGGACTTTTTCCTCCCACAAGCCAGTGCGCACTTGCAGAAAACCCCCCCAAAAAATACAGCTCAGGGAAATTTTATTTATTTATTTTTCTGAGAGAGGCTCGATAAGTAGTAGCAGCTCCAGTCAATGTGTGTGTGTGTGTGTGTGTGTGTGTGTGATACTATGTATCTGTCTGCGTGTTCCTGTGCCATATACGGCAAACAGGTTGAGAGGAGGCAGATCTGATCAGACGCACAGCAACAGAGGAGAGAGCGTGGCACAGGCTGAGCAGCAGCACACTGGATTACACACACACACACACACACACACAAGCTCTGGAGCCAGGAGAACAGCTGGGAGAAATGTGTGTGTATGCCCCAAAGCCTTTTCACTTTAATGCATGCGTCTGCCTTTACACGTGCGGCACTGTTTGCTCTCATATTATCCTCCTGCCGCCATGTGAGTGTGCATGTGTCCAGCTGAGGCTGTGTAAATATGTAAGAGGAAAGGTGGTGTGTGTGTGTGTGTGTGTGTAGGGGGGTGTTTGGTCATCTACTCAGACAGCCTGGTCGACAAGGAGCTGGAATGCAGACGACGAGGTGGATGGGAAAAGAGGGTGATGGAGATTTTTAGGATCTTAGAGAAAGGGAGGAAAAAAAAGAGGAGGCGGGAGGAGAGATGCTCTCTCCAGGAGTGCTCAGAGTGTCGCTCATTCATAATTCACCTCTATGGCAAACGTTCATTCACATATTGACCCCCCATGGCTGCGCTCACCGTCTTTCCTGTCTCTCAATGGACGCCCCCCTATGGCGAAGTGTTCAGTTAGCCCTCCTCCTTTATCCTTTATCACTTTCTCCAGACAGGCAGCCTGAGCACCTCCATGTTTCTTTCTTTCTTTTTTTTTTATTTTGTTCGGCCGTTCCGGTTGTTCGACGCCAGCAGTTTTTCACCGAGAGCCTCTTGTGTGAAATTGAATCGTGTAAATTGAATATTGAACTCAGACTCCACCCCTACACACAGATAATTGGTTTGGATGGATCAGTGGGTTAGTGCTCTCAGTACAGCTGTTTGACTGATTCCCTGAACCCCGGCTCAAACAGTCCATAATGGATCCATAATTCATGTGTGAATGAATTGAATCGTCTGTGTTTTGAATACGAGCGTCGAGGCGGTTTCCTCGGACCGTCGGCTCATGGTTTATTCAGCATAAGCGTCCCAAAATGGCTGTGTTCTTTTGGGGTTTTTTTTTCCTCCTTTTAATTTGTTTTGTTTTGTTTAATATTTCTTGTGGTGCTACTGAGGGCCTGCCTGGGAGCTGCACAATCATCGCCCACCGCTGAGATTTGGTCAGCTGTGGCTGCCGGCCATATGGCGCTTGAGTCTAAAACGCAATGTCAGGTGAAAGCATGCAGCCGGGGCCATGGTACATTTAGTACTGAAAGGTAAACGTTCCACTACACATTACCTTATCAGCAAAACTGATAAAAATATCCTGACCTCTTAAGTTGTTGGGGGATGATGGAGTGTATTTACTTGGTGAAAAGAGGACAACGTGCGCTGTGCAGCTCGCATGGGAAGGCGGCATTTGTTACAGCTGGTCCTGTTTTTATGGAGCAGCAGGCTGGTAGGGAGTGCTGAGCAGGTACATGTATATTTGGGTATAGTTCCAGAAAAAAAAACAACAATTATTTAGTTCATTTGAATTGTTTTATACTCGCAGTAGCAGCGATCTTTTTAAGTGCCTTTATTTGGCTGTAACCTGGTACTAAAGATGCATCGGTCAGATTTTTGGCCAATTTCTAGCTGCCAATTTTTATGAAGTTTTAACATGCCGATATCAATTGGAAATCTTTTTAATTGTCAATAATAACCGTGCTCAAAATACTTTTTCTAATGTTTCTCATACGAGAGGAGACAACTTTGTTGCATCACAGGAGTTGTTTGAAAACACAATTTTATAGATTTTAAACGATTTTCCATCAACAAAAAGATGTTTTTAAGGTGATCTGAAATTCCTTGCTCCTGTATTTCTTTCTTTCTTTTTTTTTTTTTTTTGCATTGTGAGCATTTCAATCTCTAAACTCTATATCAAGGATTTGGCATCAAGGCTTCACTGGCCTGCCCCAAATTTCTCATGCGTTGGCGTTGCAATGGTACAGATACACTCTCTGTTAACACTGATGTTCATTATGCAGAAACCTCGCCGTGAATCTTTGGTGGACGCACAGGAAAGACTGACTGATTGGGAGACGTCGGATTCAACCAGTGGCCTTCAGTTGCTGCATTTAGTTCCGCATATTTTCCAGACTCTCTGCACACAGATTCAACACACGCCAGTAGTAAGAGTGTGGCACTTCTGTCTCAGAAAAGTAGGTCACTTCCACTGACAACAGTATAATTTCAACTGAATCAAAGACCTCAGAAAAGTTTATTTCTAATGAAGTAGACTGACTTTTGGCTAGCTTTACTGATTTAACCTGGTTATGGTCACAGAAATCTGCTCTATATCTACAATACATAAATAATTGAGTGTTTATATATTACTTAAGGGATTTTCCTTATGAAAATTGCAAAAAAAAAATTTTTTATACAATGCTGCACTTTAAAGGGCTCATTATTATGTAAAATGTACTTTTTTTCAGCTTTACATCATTTTATGATGTCATTCTCTCATGAGAAACATACCTGGAGTGTTGCTTTGATTCTTTCATGTACTGTATGTTTGCGAAATCCTTTAATCTCCATGGCGACCTTTCAGCTGTGCAAAACGCCTGGGTGGACATAGCTCCGCCTTTAAGGATGAAACTCCTCTGAGCTGCAGTTTCCGAACTTCCACCTCACAGAGTAGCCCTTCCCCTTCGAATTGCCCACTCAGCTCCTTCAGACTAGCCGGCAGCAATTAGCAAGCACCGGGTGGAACTGGACATCTGCTGAGCTCATCAGTGAAATGCTGGTATAAAAGTGATGCGCTGACTCCTTGAGAGCAGAGTTTCAGAAAGATATGGAGCTTCTTAATGAGACAGAGGCCCAATTCCAAGGCGTTATTACAAGGTGAAGTCATTTTTATTACAACTGAAGGTAACACAGTTTCTTGAGCGTGCTATTAAATGGCACTGAGTGGCTGGAAAACATAACTCTGCTCGTTTAATTAGGTGAATCAGAAAGCTAACGCTGCACACTGACGGCCTAAACGGCTGTTGCCGAGTTTTTGAGCATTTAAAAATGCTCTCCTTGAATCCTAATAGGAGGCTGTAAACGCAACATTCAAGAAGCCTTTCCAAGCCAATAAACGGCTTGTCAAATTCAGCACGCTTCTCCTCAGCGCCGCCAAGTATTTGCTTTGCGTGTGTGCTGAGAAGAAGCCTCCTGTTTGTACACATCTCCTGACCAGTACACTGCAAACAAACAAAGCAGAAAGAGGCGAACCGGAGGAAGAAGGTCAGATAAATATAAACTGGGAAGTAGAGCTTATGATATAGTTTGGTTGGATCTCACAGAACAGTTTATGCCTGTGCCACTGGAGCTCATAGCTTATTATTTTTAGCTCTTAATAGATTGGCAAATTATTGTGCTAACGTTCATCTTTACCGTGCGTACTTTATGTCGAGGTGCAGAACTAATTCTTCCCAAAGGTAGCAGTGACCAGAACTATTTGGCATCAGCCGAGAGGAAGGAGGCTTTAACGGAATGCTTTTCATCTGCAAGAATCCTCAGAGGCATGTAGGACAGAGTCAGGGTTCATAGCACTGCAGCCAAAGCCAACCCGAAGGGAGGAAAAAAGAAAGAAAAAAGTCAGCTTTATCTGGGCTGCTGTTCACATCAACCTGAGCACAGCAGGAAGACTGTGTTACAGCCAGGGAAAGAGAGAGACATTTCTTTACCGCCACGCATTGAGTCGGTGGTAAAAAGGTCGGTGTGCGTCTAAATATAGAGGAAGGATATTGCGGTTAGGAAGGAAGCCTTGTGGCCTAAAATTCAGTTTTCAGAATCGTGGGAGGATTTCCATCATGATTCTGGTTTACATGGGGAGGAATTTATCCATGCATACGCAAATGTGGGATGTATGAAAAGTCTGAAATTTACCTACTACCTGTTTATGTGAAGGGTTTTGTGAAAACAGAATGCATTAATGCAGCTTGCAGCGGCTCTGTTTTTTTGTCAGGTGTTTCTGTTTACAGGTATCCATCCATTATTGGTGTCGATCTTGAGGAAAAAAGGCAGAGCTGGAATGGTCTTCTGTTTACATGCAACACTGTATTACAGTTTTAGATCAAAGGTACAAGTCACATGCATATTTCCTGATTACATTAATACAATATTTCCAAATTAGTACAAAACAGGCAACATCGCTACTGTGTTGGTTTGTTTGTTTGTTGTTGTCTTACGGCAAAGTTTTCTTTAACTAACCAGTAATTTCTTGGAACTGTAGTTACCACACTCTGTTTTCTCACTCTTTGATTCATCAGTTATTACAAAGGATGATTTTTTTCCCTCCAAACAACATCCTCTACTCAATTCAATGTGATTAAAATGGGTAAAGTAAAGATATTTTGCACTAATTGACAACACACAGGCGGGTTAACAGTCATTCTTCTG